GCCCCTCCGGCAGCCCCGCCCCTCCGCCCGGCTTTTGCCGCTGTCGCTCAGCGGGGTGACCTTGGCACAGCAACGAGGGGACCCCCGGCCCGCCCCGGCTCCTCTCCTCCTCCTCTTCTTCCTCCTCCTCTCCTGCTCCTCTTCTTTCTCCTCTCCTCCTCCTCTCCTCCTCTACTCCTCCTCTCCTGCTCCTCTTCTTTCTCCTCTCCTCCTCCTCCTCCTCCTCCTCTCCTCCTCCTTCTCCTCTCCTCCTCTCCTCTCCTTTCCTTCCTAGAGCAGCCAAACTTAACATGCAGGAAAAAAAAAACCCAGATGCCTCCGGCTGCCCCCCCTGTACCAGCTCTATTTGCCACGGTGCAAAAATAAAACCCCAAATGCCAGGCCAAAAAGGGCGCTGGGGGGATGGCATCGACATAGTCCCTGGCCCTGTGGGGCCTTTGCGGGGCTGCGAGGGCAGGCAAAGGAGCCCACGACAGCAACAAAGAATGGGGGTTTAATAATTTGCCGGAGCAGCCTTCCAGCTCAAGGCAGGGCTGTGCGAGAGGACGGGACCATGGCTGAGAAACAGCTCTGCCTGCGCAGGGGAGAGTCCCACTGCTCCTGCATAAGGTTTATCACATAAAGTACAAGGCAGGTTGGGATTTTTTTTCCCCTTCCCCACATGGTTTCCATCACCTTAGCAGCTTAGGAGGGTGGTGAAGGGTGCTTGCACAAACAACACAGCTGTTTTGCTGCAGCAAAACCCTACATGGTGCTTTGCGTGGCCCAGTGCCCCGATGTCTGGGGAAACCAACCCTGGAGAGACAGAGAGATATATATAGATATAGATATAGATATAAAAACTAAGCCCAGCCAAACTGGTTTGAGAATTCCCCCATGCAGGAGAGCTTCCCGTTGAAGGCAGGTTCAGACATCACCGCGGCATCTATTCCTGGCCCCAGGCAACTTCAAATATGCAATAAGCTCAACACCCACCATGGCTGGGTCCCCTCCTGATGCCTTTGGCGGGGGGGAGGCAGTGCTGGTGTCTGGGGAACCTTCCAATGTCCCCCCAGATGTTACTCGAAGTGGGTATGTTACTCTAACTGGATATGCACAAAGCTGCTGCACAAACTGAATGTGCCCAAACGTGCTGCACAAAAATGTTGCAAGAACCTGCCACACAAACTGAATATGCACAATTGTGCTGCACAACCCAACCCTGTTGCTCAAACTAAATGTGCAACAGTCTGCTGCACAACCTGGATATGCAGAAACAGAATGTGCACAAACTGAACACGCACTGAGTGAGCAACAACTAATGCACAAACTCAGTAGGAATGAACTGCTGAAAAAATCGCTGCAGAAACTGTGGGTCCTGGCAGAGGCTCGAGAGCCTGGGGTACACCCAGGTAGTGTAGGTAGCTGTGTCTTGCTCTTCTGACAGCTCTTCTTTGCTGTCATCTCCCAACTCGTCCTCCTGGGTCAAGGCCGAGTGCTGGCCTGGGGATGGACTTGATGCCCCGTATCGGTTAATGAAAAGTTAATTAAAGTTAACTCCCCCAGAGTCAATGAAAAGAGGAGAAAGACTGAGGGACTATAGGTGAGGGAGACCTACACGTGGGGGAAGCAAGCAAGGAAAGATCCCTTTGGCTTAAGAAAGGACTTGTTTTAAAACAAAACCGAGAAGCAGCAGAGGTAAAGCCAAAAAGATAGTTGGTTTTGTGTCAGCTGTCTGGTGCCTGCTGTTCTGTACCACTGGTGGTCACAGCCCCAGCATCCCATTCACAGTTGACGGCATGTCAGTCATTTCAGCTCCCTGAGGTTAAGAGCAGCTTGTGTGTCTTAGGTGCTTATTTTCCTTCAAATGCGGATGAGAGATACTGGGCTGAAGGCAAAGCCTTGCAGGAACACCGTTTCCTTTGTTGTTGCTGAGTCTGTATCACTGTGATGGTGAGCTCTGGGCTAGGGGACGAGGGCTTCCTCCGGCCCCTCTCCAGCACTCCCCGAGGCCGGCACTCCCCCTGGACCAGCCAGCCCCTGAGCCGCGGACCCAGGGGGAGGTCATGGCCCTCGAGGGTCGGGCTCTGGCACCTCAGCCACGGGACAGCCGTTCGCTGCTGGGCTTCACCCCCATGTGAGCAGAGGGGGCTCATGGGCACTGCTGAGATTTTATTTGGGGTTTTTTTTTTAATTTGAAACCAGGCCTTGGAAAGAGCCATTTTAAACCCATCTCCCCTACTCCCCAGCCCAGGTGCCCTCGAAGGGCGCAGGGATGGCTCAGCCTCTCCACGTGCCCACGATGCACCTGAACCCCAAAACAGCTCTTGAAGCGTCAGCCCCTGTGCGGAGGCAGTGAAGGGGTGCGCGGGAACACAGGACAGGGCTGGGGGCACACGCATGGCCATGGCACTGGTGGGGTGTGGGGGGGG